CGATTAGCTCAATTGCTGGGTTACAAGGTGAATAAAAGGTTTGAACTATATATTTTTACACCAAAAAAAACCTTCTCTGAAAGCAAAAATATTTAACTACACAAATAATCTACACAGGAAAATTGACACCTTAATGCTGGTATACAAGAACAGAAAAGGGACAATTTGCGTATTAAACCACTGCTTCCAGGTGCAACTCAAGCCCTCCCCAAACACCAACTTTCTCCTCATATAAGACTTTATTTAAAATTAAATAAATTTAATTATGGGGTTGATTAAATATAATATTTATCACAGAAATGGTTAGGGACATAAAACACTTATACAACCAATATTCGAAAGTATCCCTTTAAATGTTTATTTTTAAAAATTGCAGATTTGTTTTTCTGCCATGTTAATCTCATTCTAAGCATGCACGTGTCAGAAGCAATAGGAATATTTTCTTCTGCACCTGACGAACAGAATCACTGACTTAGGCATTTACTGGAATGTCTGACAGACTGCTATGAGCAATGTATTGCACGGCATCGAGGAAGTCGCACTGACTGGAAAGTCAGAAGAGAACATTTTCATTTCTAACCATATATATTATATAAAATAACAAACCAGGGACCGATCACAAGGTTTTAATCCAATGTTGGGTTCAAGTGAAGTCATTTCAACGTTCTTCACACATAGTGAATAAGAGTGGGTTTTCAGAGTGCTTTTTTTCTGCTCATCCGGATAACATTTGGATCATAAGGGTCACCAGTCATTTTCCTCTTTGCACATCACACAGGAAGCGACATTGGCAGCGACTTGATGACCCAGAAGCTGTCCTTTTCCCAATCCAGCTTGGGTGTGCACTGAGCACGCCGGCTGGCTGTGCGCATGAGCAGTGGAACCAGCTATTGCAGGTTCATTATAAAATGGCTTGGGATGTTATGGATCTCAAGAGGCCGCAGCCAGGAGTGGGAAATGGGAAACTCTCTCAACAAATAATGACAGTTAATGTAGTATCATTACTATTTACATGTGGGTCACACTGCACTGCAACCAAACTTCCATAGGGTTATGGTACCATAGAACTTTAGAAAGCTAACACTGTATATACCTTATCTGGACCACTGCACCTCCAGGGTATTCCACCTCCCCACAAATCCATGTAAAAAAAAACTCTCCAAAAATCTCTTTACTCCCTTGCTAATTTTCTTAAATTGATGCTCTCTAATCTCTGACCAGTGGAAATAATTTCTTCCTACCTTCTACTTATTAAAAACTATGACTTTCAAGACCTGTATCCCCTCAACCTTTTTGTTCCAATGAAAATAGGCCCGGTTCCTTCCGCACGTTCGTAATTCAAACCACACATCCCATGTATCATCCTGGTAAATCTTTTCTTCATCCGAACCGAGCTTGTGATCTCGTGAAAGTGGAATTCACTTCAGTAGAAGAAAGCATCAAGTATTTTAAGAGGAAATTGGATGCAAATTTGAAAATTCGAGGCATATAGAAGAGAGACAAGGGCTCGCGAGGAGGATAAACAATGGAACAAACTAGTTGATCCAAATAAGCTGTTTGCATCTATTTATGAAACCTACATCCTTTCTAAAGTGAGTTCTTCAAAAAAAGTAAAAATGCTCTAACTGTAGTGCAATGATTTTGACCAGTTAAGTAAACATCACCTCTTAGTTTTATACACCATACCTCGATTTAGAAACCTAGGATCCCATGAGCTTTCTTCACAGCTTTGTCCACCTGCCTTTCCACTATTTAAAAATTTATGTATGTCAACTCCTAGCTCTCTCTGCTTATCCAATTTTAAATTAATGGAATGCTTACACCAAAGGAGGCCTTTCAATCCATCACATCTATGCTAGCTGTCCCACTGAAGCTATCTGCTCTAATCACTTCACGCATAGCCTCTGCTCTCCACACACTGCTTCAATTCCCTCTTAAATGCTGTTTTAAGACTCAGCTTCAAAAGCCATCTGGTACTAAACAGATTTCACATACAGTTATTACAGCAATGTTTATACTTCAGAAAAGTAAAGAATAACATAACACCATCCAAAGCATTCCCTCCTCTCTACGGCCTATTTAAGAAAAAATGCTAAAATTAATTCCTGAGTTGGTTGTTCAAATATGTAATCTGCAATGTTGTACATACAGTATTCTGGACAGAGACATAAGGTCAAGTTGAGCAGAATTTTTTTTGTTATTCATTCCACTTCATAAATCAAAGGCAATTCAGGGCTTTGATAAATCCCACAACTGCCCTCCTCTCCATGAAAACTACTTTGTTGAATATAGCCATTAACCAGTTTTCTCTCTCAGGTGCTGCCTTTTTCTGCCTTTCACATTTTTATTTCTGATTTGTAATATCCCTTTCTTTATACTGTGTATTCAAGATTTAGTATTTTGCAATGATTTCTTTGCATTCTATCATCATACCAATACTTGCTAATATTGCAGTTTATTATCTTATTTCACCTATTTTAATCTTCACATGTCCCATTTTTACAATCTCAAGCAAATTAAGTTAACAAAAGAATTTGCTAAGCGAAAGAAGACCAAGATCCATCTATTTCACCTTCCACCATTCTGGCAGTCGCTTGATATGTTGTGTCCAAAACTATATGCTATATCCCAAGATTATTTTCTAACAGAAATCTATCTAATTTGTTCTTGAAATAATCAAGCCTGTTCATTGTTCTTATGTAATTAAGTTTAATTTTTTAGTACGGTAATCCAATAGTTCAAAATTTTGATTTTGAAGCATTACTGGCATTTTCTTCTAAGTACGTTTTTTGTCATTTGCGTCCATCATCCAATCAAATGACTACACACTTCAGATAATGTTTTTTCCATCTCTGACTTTTTAAAATGAAAAGTCTACTTTTTTTTTAAGTCCTTGCCGTCTCTCCATACGTTGCACACATCTTTCTGAGAATCCATAATTTTAATTTTCACTATCCGTCATTCAATACTTCCCTTGAAATAATGCCTTTCTCCACTCCAGCTTGGTAAATTTAACATTTTATAGCAAGCACAGGATCAGTGCAAGATTCATTAAGGAAGTCACAAGAAGTACTAAAAGGTTTAATTTATATCATCACTTGAAAAGAGTATTTTTCAGGTACAAAATTAACTTTTGTCTTTACGATGAAGTGCTGACAGAAGGGACTTACATTTCACACTTGTTAAAAATAATGGGAGCACAAGTATAATTAAAAGTCAAATTCTCCCAAGGAAGTTGAACATTTCCTGTCATCTCACACCTCCATACTTGTCAAAGGGTTCACATGCAGTGATGTGTTTACTAATTCCACCTCACTCATCACAAAAGTAATTTAGAAAGGAAAACTGAATTAATAATCTGGCCCATATAAAAAAAACAAGTTTTATTAGGCTTATGTCTGCTTTTTGCTGTGAGTAACTAGCTGCTGCGTTTCGCCCACACAATACACAATCTACTTTTCAGTATATCCTGTAAAGCACTTTGAGATGTGATAATGCGCTATATCAAACGCAAAAATTCATTATTTGTTAAAATTTGTTTTTGTACACGTTAGTATCAACACAAGCCAAACAAAGTACCTAATAAATAACTAATTATACTACAGTTTAAGAACTTGACTTTAACCCTAGACTGTTTGTGGGTCTGAGTTGAAAGCCCAGAAGTTTTTTTTTATTCAGAGGGTAATTAACAACTGAAACAGGCTACCATGAAAGGTAGCCAGGAGGCCAGGATGCTCGACTGTTTTTTTTAACAGTGATGCTACAATATGGTAATAACACAGTTGGTTAGATACTTTGGTAGAATGAGATCAAATGGGCCAAAGGACCTTCTTGTGATCTTGTAAGTCCCATCTCACTGGGCCAAGAGGTTCTGTACATTTTAGCTCATCCAGTGGCAGTGAAAACAAACTGTACAACAGCAATCAAGCTACTGAAACATCAACATGCCTTTGTTACTGCAATATTAAACCCAATATACTAAAATATTTTAACTTTTTAAAAAATCTTCACACTTTCTACAGCCATTCCCTCCTTCCACATTCATTCTGTCGTTAAGTTGTTTTATTTTCTATCTGTTTTATTTTCTCTCTGTGTTATTGCTTAAGTTTTTCTTCTACTCATTTCCAACTTTAAAATCTATCAATGCCTTCTTCTTTGTAACACATTATAATAATAATCCTTGCATTTGATATAGCGCCTCATATCTTCAAGACGTCTCAAAACACTTCACAGAATATACTGTAAAGTGTCGTGAGTGACTATATATTTTGTGGGAGAAATGAGCAGCCAATTGCGCATAGCAGTGTCCCACAATCAGTTGTGGATTGAAGTGACCAAATTATTATTATTATTATTATTAAAATGATGCCAATTTGACATGAATAGGATTTGAAAGTTTTGGCATTGCCAAGTTCTTGGCCAGTATGCCTGCAAAACAGTTTTCTGAGCAGCATTCGGGTTGATTCCCAGCAGGAAAGTGGTACAAATCTGAGCCCGGTCATCACTTGGACTCACTTAGTTTTATTGGTATGAAATGCTTTCAGTACATCACTCAGCAACTGAGTAAAAATTCCAATTAGATTTGAATTAGATCTACTGATCCAATTTACATTATAGTGTACATTATTGCATCATTCAGCTACCTTCTTCAAACAACATTTCTATTATCCCAATAGTAATTCCAGATTTGATCATCTACCTCTACACCTATCCTTCTTCCCTTCAATTCCTGTGAAGATATTTTGATGACGTTTATACTTTAAACGATCCCTTGTGACTAAGGGATGTATGGTTAATTTCAACATTGGAGATAAAAAAAAAGAAAAAAAATCTTAAATTGAATTTGCTTAGTGTTAAAACACTATACAACTTCTATATCCTTGGGGAAAAAATGAATTTTATACATTTCAACATCAATTTCATGCTTTAGAGATAATCTAAATGTTGCAACACAAATCCTGTGTAGAACTAGTCTTATTAGACCTAATACAATTACTTACCAGGTTCCAGCTTAATGACTTTAATAGCTGCCAGCTCACCAGTGTTGACATTTCGAGCCTGCAGCAAAAAGAGAAAGAAAACTTAAATATTCAGAATTTTCAATTGCACAAACATTATCTACTAGTTGCAATATTACAATAGTGAGGTTCTGTAATTGGCACATTGTTCACTTGTGTTCCCCAGCAACCCCTCCCACCCAAAGAAATATGGTAACACTCTCTTCAAGTCTTAGCTTGAAAACCATACTTAATAGGGAACCTTTGTTGAGGGCAATTTAAAAACAACTTTTCACCAACCACACACCTTTATGTACCTTCCGTATGACTCTTAAAAATGTCACAAGCAAGGACGTTTATGTAATGTTTGAATTTTCAAACGCAATATCATTCACTTGGTATCAGCCTGGCTCAGTTGGTAGCACTAGAGTCAGAAGGTTGTGAATTCAAGCCCAATGTCAGGACTTTGAGCTCACAGTCCAGCCTGAGCCTCCATTGCAGTACTGGTGAAGCGCTGAATTGCCATCCTTCATATAAGATGTTGAATGAAGAACTCATCTGTCTGTTTCAGATGGACCTTGATGATCCCATGACATTATTCAAAAAGAGAAGGGAGCTTCTCCTCATACCAGTAATGGTTCACTATCAATATGATTAAGTTAAAATGTACACAGCTTTACTGCTTCAAAATTGACGTAGAAGAACCCTCAATAATTTGAACAAGGAATGAAGATTAACAAAGTACGCAACGCCTTACACAATAATACAGTTCATCTTCCTACATAACTTGCTACGACTTCATTCTATGTTGGCAAGAGTGAAAAAAAATTATGTATTCTGCAGACTGCAGATTTACATTAATGAGAATCGGTCACAATTCTACTGCATTACTCAAGGATCAGCAACATTTTAAAAGCAGCAGCTGAAAACCTAGGTACTTAAAAACCAAAGGGACGTCACATCAGTATCCAGTATTTGGGATTTTTTGAGGGCCTGAGTGATTGGAATAGTACACAAGTTTAAGGCCTCTCCAAGCATATCCTACTTCAGCCTGCAAAATGCCAGGTCTCTAGATGATTATTCAAATTATGTGGAGGTAATAATCTTTCAATTAATTTTCAACAGTTGCAAAGCAAACTTCAACATTTAACCCATATTATACTTGTTGCCCTATCCAGTTGTTGACAATAAAGGCAATGAGAGTGATCCATTCATCAAAATGAGTGGTTTAACATTCCTTAACATATAAGAATCTAGATAACTGTAGTTTTATACTAAAAATGTTTTTGTTTATAGGATATGAGTGCCGTTACTTGAAACTACTGCAAAGGCTTTTGCAATTCTGTGCTAATTTTTAGTGTTGATTGCAAAATCATTTGTTTTGATTATTCAAGGGATTATTCAAGGATTCAAACTAAAACCTAAGAGCAACAGAGAAAAACAGAACGCTTTCACAGCTTTAAAACGCTCTATATCTATCTCTACCCTCTCTCTGCAATGCCACCCCCTTCTACTCCACCAACTCTGGCTACTTGATGTCCCCTGGCCAGCCCCACCATTGGCTGTCAACCTTCGAGTACTTTTAAGACAGTCAGGAACCTTGGCATCTTGTTTGACCCTCAACTATCCTTTCTACTCCTCATTGGTGCCATGACCTGCTCTGCCTTCCCCCACCTCCGCAACACTGCCCGGCTCCACCATTCCTTGCTCCGCGCTACCTCTGCGACCTCCTAACCCCCAACCAATCTGCCCGCTCCCTCCGCTCAGTAGGATCCAGCCTGCTTCAAGTCCCCCACCTCACCTCACTCCCCAACATCGGTGGACGGGCCTTCTGCCACTTTGCCTCCACCATCAGGAACTCCATCCCGCAGTCCCTCAGCCTTGCCCCTTCCCTCCTTCAAGATCTTCCTCTTCAACCGTGCCTTCGTTTCCCCTCCTTTCCCCCCACCCCTGCATTCCATCCTTCCCAATCCCGACCTCCAACTCGGTTCTGAAACACTCGCCGTGGTGTCCAGCGCCTTGGGACTTCCTCCCGACGTGAAAGACGCTATACAAATGTAATTTTTTTTTGTTTGCCCCATCGCTCGGGAATTCTCCCTCAAAATCCCTCTGCCTTTCCTCTTCCTTCCCTGCTCAAATCCTACCAACCTACCTACTCTCGCTGCTCACAGGTACTGGCCTACCTCAAGTCCCCGCCCTACCCACCCCACCATCAGAGGTCAGGCTTCAGCCTATCTGGCCCAAAGAACTATATCCCAGAGTACCTCTGTCTCCCTACTTCCCTCTCCTCCTTCGAAATTGGTCTCAAAACCTTCCTCTTTGACTACACCTTCAGTCATATTCCCCCTCTCCCTCTTGACCATCACCCTCCTAAAGCCAACCCTCAGCTTGGGTGCAAACCTTCAGCTGTCCAATGTCTTGGGATGTTTTCCTGATGGGAAAGGAACAATATAAATGCAATTTGTTAGTTTTCTAATCCCACCTGACAAACCTCCTCTTTGACTGCACTTTCAAACATTTCTTCCCCACCACTACCACCCTAGCTCAGTCTCAATTTGGAACTTCTGCTCAGATAAGTTTTGAAACCAACCACCTGCTCCCAGCATGTCAGCCTGGCTCAGTTGGAAGCTCTCTCATCTATGAGTCAGAAGGTTGTGGGTTCAAGCCCCACGACAGGACTTAAACTCACAACATCTAAGCTGGACACAACAATGTAATGCTGCAATATGTTGCATTGTTGAATGTGCCGTCCCTCAGATGAGATATTAAATCAAGGTCCCGGCTGCCTGTTCAGGTGGATGTTAAAGATCCCATGGCACAATCCGAAAAGAGAAAGAAATTTCTCCCTGGTATTCGGGCCAACAATCCCCCCCCCCAATAAAATTGTTCATTCATTTTATGGCTGTTTGTGGGACATTGCTATGCACAATTGGGCTGCCATATTTGCCTACAAATGCAGTCATTCCGTTTCACAGTAAAATCCTGTGAAGTATCCTTCCAACGTGAAAGGCACTATATAAAATGCAAGGATATTTTATTAACGTGAAAGGCTCATATAAGTGTAAATTGTTGCTGTTCTTGTACACCTCCCAGTTTTGATAATTTCACTGTGAAAAACTACAGCGGTTACAAAAACAGGTGGACAATCTTGATAGTGTAAGATATTGGAATGAGTCAGCTTCCAGCAAACAAGAAGAATCCTCATGTGATCATTCAGTCACTCAGTCTTTGTTTAATTTGCTATGAGCACACTGCTCATGATTTAGCATTTTGCACGGGCAGTTTAGCGGAGAGAATTGTTTTTACAGATTTCTTGGAGGTAAGTCATTAAAATTTAAATTGCATGACTGACTTCTAAAAATATTTTAAAATATTTAAATTGCATTGAGTTTATTTAGTTGCACCCACACTTATGAGTTTAAAGCAACGATATTTGTAATGAAAACTGTTGTCTTATTACAGCTTAAAGACCTGTGGCCTTCAGCATATCTACTGATCCACTCATCTTTGGGCTTCCATTCATGGCCTGAATTCAACAACAACTTGCACTTATATAGCACCCTCCACGCAGGGTAGCATCTCAGAGCACTTAACAGTGGCAGAGCCTGACTCCGAACCGGGGGTGGGGAGGTGGCAGTAAGCACGGTCGAGATAGAAGGTTTTCAAGCAGGACTTGAAAAAGTGGAGGGGGCAAGGAGGAGGGATTGAGGGAGAGTGTTCCACAGTTTCGGAGCGTGGTGGCTGAAAGCGCAACCTCTGACCTGAGGTCCAGAGGAGGCCAGATAGGAGGCCGGTGCCAGTCAAGCGGAAGCGCCGGGTAGTGGATTGGAGAGTGAGGAGGCCAGAGAGGTAGGGAGGTGTCAGGAGTGAATGGCTTTGAACACGAATGTGAGGATCTTGCAGTCAATCCATTCGGTGATGGTGAGCCAGTGGAGCCTGGCCAAATCTGGTGAGATGAGGGTGCGGAGTTTGATCCGGGTAAGTATATGGGCAAATGTTTTTGAATGGTGGAGTTGGGGAGACCGACGAGGAGTGTGTTTGAGTAATCCAGGCGGGAGGTGACAAATGCATGCACGAGGGTTTCGGCTGCATTTGGGGTAACGTACGATCGGAGGTAGGCAATGTGGCAGAGGTGAAGGAAGTCGGTCCTGGTCAGGGACCAAATGCGGGGGAGGAAGGACAGCTGGGGGTTGAACGGATGCCTGGATTGCGCACTGGTTTGGTGAGTCTGAGGGAGAGCCCAGGGAGATTGAGGAGTTCAGATCCGCAGGAGTGAAGACGTTGACGGGAGCCAATGAGTATGGCTTCCATCTTGTCCACATTCAGCTGCAGGAAGTTTGCACTCATCCAGATAAGCTGATAGAAAATCAATGGAGCTGGAGTTGGTAAAGTAGATTTGTGTGTCATCCGCATACATACGGAAGTTTACCCTGTGTCTGCGGATGACATGGTCAAGAAGGAGCATATATAGATGAGGAAAAGAAGAGGGCTAAGGTTGGAGCTCTGGGGTACCGCGCAGGTTACAGGGTGGGGATAGGAGGAGAAACTATTTGCTGAGAAGAAGTGGAGGCAGATGGGTCAATGTGGCTCAGTGTCTTGCTCTTGCTCTCCAAAGAGAAAATGGGGAACAGGAATACCATTACTGGAGATAATGGTTATCCCAGTATCATGCAATTATGCTTTCAGAATTTAAGTTTATAGAGCTTACAGTAGAGGAAGTGGCTCACAGCCCAGTAAGCATAAACTACAGCCAGCTCACTCACCCACTGAAGCTAACAGTTACAATTTCCGGTTTCTTCACCTATGTTGCTATGATGCATTTCTACGATAAAGTATAGTAAAAATTCAGACTCCTCCCACCCCAGGGATATTTGTTACAGGGAGAAGCCAAATTCTTGGACTGGTTCCAATTTGTGGGGCACGACTTTCAACTGACCTGGGAAATATTTAACCCTAGAAAATCTACACATTCAGCAGTTCTGAACTTTTTGCTGGACTCAGGCTTTATGCAAAGTACTATTTTTGGTAATATTTCCATGATCCTCTCTATCCAAACACACT